ACGTACTACTACTACTACTACTACTACTACTACTACACTACTACTACTACTACTACTCTACTCTACTACTACTACTACTACTACTACTACACACGAGACGAGAGAGAGAGAGAGAGAGAGAGAGAGAGAGAGAGAGAGAGAGAGAGAGAGAGAGAGAGAGAGAGAGAGTCACGTCCTGACTAATTGAAAATCTGCTTAGACCAAGATCATTAGCCATTGTAGTTGGGAGAATTTACATGAACCCAAGACTTAATATGTCATGAAATAATTGTGTAAGAAGATTCTCCTATATCAGCTCCTCTATTAAACATAATAAGTTAGGCAAATGAATCTGCAATTGCACATATATTTACTTGCGAGAGCCTAATCATTGGATGTAAACCATGGAAGCCTGCCACTTAAGCCGAGTGTGGTGCTGTTTCACTCACAATTCCAAAAGCTTTGACCCCTCATAGATGTATCATTTTTCCAAGATACCTGAATACTTGTGTATCCTTATGCTTAGGGTACTGGTATCCACATGACTTGATATGGTAGTACCACTATAGCAGATGGTCTTAATCAATTTTTTGAACTCAAGTCGACCTTGGACTAGTCCGAGTCGACTCAACTCAGAAACCCGGTGAATCTTGTGCTTTATCACGGGACTCACCCAATTCTTGCCACTGTATGCTGTTTATAAAGAAACTCTGCCACGTCTTATATTGAAACATGGCCAAGGCAACTCAACATGGCTTGGCTCGGGCAAGCTGAGTCAGTTTAAAGTTTAAAATCATAACTATTAGGATACTTGGATTATAAATTATAGAAGTATTATAGTATACTATATGGTAATTTTAGAATGTCTTCAAAAAAATAAATGGATCAATATCATATTTTGTAGCTGAGCTTCTTTTATTCTACTCTTGTAAATATAATAAGTCAAGTATTTGATGGTATAAAAAAAGTATGATCCTAGGTGTATGGAGCTCTGAGAGTATTCAGGTAAGAATTATTGTTTTATACTGCCAGTAGATGTTAGCATGTAGTATGCTAAAACAGATGTTTTATGTGTATATTTTTTGTATTTGCCCAGTTTGGCCAGTCCTATATTACTATTAATGAATCAGTTGTTTAGCCTTTAGAAATATGTGCATTTTTGTTTTATTTTATTTTATTGAAATAGTTAAGGAACATTTGCTTTTCTTAATAGTTAAGGAACATGGGCTAGAGAAACAGCTGTTACACATGAATAGCAGAGAAGAGGATCCAACATTGCCCCTCTTTACTCATGCCTAGGCCAGTCAGTGAAATTATCCAACAGAATTATTCAACTGGTCTAATCCAAACTGGGCCAAAGAGCTTCCTCAATACTAGAGTTTGTTGATTTCCTTTTACTTTTTTGGCCTTATGTGTTGTTGTGCGCCTATAGCTTAGAAACTTTGCTTAAGTATAAATCCTTTTATCTAAACGCTCTCAAGTATGCGATCTTAGTTTGGATTTCATGGGTGTGTTTTATTTATATTTTCAAGTATGATTAGTCATATTTTCAAGGATGATTTATTTATTTATTTTTTTTTAAGAAATTTTCTGGTTTGCCTCTGTAATCTCTGCTTTGGTCAACACTTTTTTGATGTTTACATGTAGTATTTTTTTTTTCTACTTGTTTGCTTATTATTTGAACAAATGTATTTGAGTTTTTTTTTTTTGGGTAGTTTAGGAATCGAACTTGAGATGTAGCACTGCTAAACGGAAGCTAATAATCAGTCAAGCTGAAGCCCAATACCTATGTACTTGAGTGCTTTTAAATGCATGCATATATGTTATCTATTGTATATGTCTTTACCTATATATTTATTAAAACTGTATTTGAAATTTTGAATATGTATGTACAAATGTATATTACTTTGTACGATGTATGCATTTACACATGCAAATATACAAACACTCATTGCTGTTATAAGCAACATGAAAGTGGAGAATTTAAAGGCAAAAAATTGAGGAAAACAAAAAGTAGTGTGGCAAATTAAACATAAAAGAAGAAATGATGAAAGTGGTGAAATAATTGAATTTTTCTAAAGAAAAATATGATGGAGAAATCGACCACCATACATGTTATTTATTTCCTTTATGAGAGAGACACTAAAAAAATTGTTACCTTCAAAACATTGACAAAAACTCAAAGAAACACATCCACAATAATTTTTTCACTTTTGTTCTTAGATTTTTTGGTTAGGCTGGCAAACAATATCATTGGACAGCTATAAGCACAAATTTGTGAAGGGAATACACCCATGGCTTGGGAACGTGAATATTTTTTGATTAGGGTCATTGTGGGTCTCTTTTTTTGCATAATATGGTTGCTTTGCTTTAAATATAAGTTTAATTGGTTACTTCAGTGAATTGCAATCGTTGTATAAAGGTGTCTGAGATTATTTTATTCTTCCGATTATCAACCTATCTAACAAGCTCATGCTAATAAACTAAGGAACCGTTTAAGGTTCAAATATCCATTTGAAAAAGCAACATTTGGTGAATTCCAGTTTGGTGATTTTTTTTTCATTTTATTTCTATTCCTGATTCATAACCACTGCTTCTTATTCAGCCTTGATGAAAGCCACGATTGCTCTCACTAAGCTTGACAAATAAATTCTTTTGAAAGGTAATGGTTATGAATGGAACTGGGACACAGTTGGCTTGAATGCTGGACAATGAAAAAATGCCATAAACATGTTTGTCCCATGATCTTTGGTGCAATTGTGTAGCATGTAACTAGGACAAGTCATCGACCTTGTGAGTTTGCCCCTCTTACAAACAAACTTAACATATCGCCACAATAAAAAAGATGAGGGTGATGGAGTGTTTGTTGCTTTTACGGGAGAGGTATGACAGAGATGTCAAGGGCACAACTCCGGAGACTATATCGAAGGAGTCATCGACAATGAATGGCTATTGATGATCTTCATCCTAGGCCAAATAATAAGTGGCTGTCTGCGAGCTACATAGACCTTGATTGGGAGGAACACCATTCCAGCACAGTTCTAGGAGAAGGGGAACTTGCCTCAGGACAAGCTAGTAATGTGAGGCTTTCAATTCACGCATAACATTCTCAACTGAAGGGAACTGAAAATAAACTCTGCATGGCATCTATCAAAGCCATAATATGATATAGCGATTGATTTCTCTTCACTTTCCTATGCATGATGATGCACATATTTTGAGCTGGAATCTTCTTAGCTGCCTTTGAAGTCCACTGTAAACGTCTTCTCATGCCAACTGATCAAAGACCGAGCCCCTTGTTAAAGTTAGAGCTGGGACGCTTCAAACTAAATTTGGAGCATTGGGGGTTGTCCTAACTGAGAAGGAGTCCATCGTTAAGGCCTAATTTAAGTCTTGGCAGATTCAATAGCTCCTATTGCTTCCTATACTTGTGATGTAGATAATATAAGACTTTCAGATTATACACTAAAAATATCCCAACTCCTTAAAACTGTTTAAGGAAACTTGGACGTCAAGCTTCTTTGCCCTTTTCAGTCAAAATGGTTAGAGATTTGAGCTATGGTTAAGGCTTAATTTCAGCCTTGGCAGATTCAAGTGCTCCTATTGCTGCCTATCCTTGTGATGAAGGTAATATAAGACTTTCAGATTATACACTAAAAAGATCCCAACTCCTTAAACTCAAGGAAACTTGGACATCAAGCCTCCTTGCCCTTTCAATCGAAATGGTTAGAGATTCGAGCAATGGGATCTGAGGTGATCTCCATATTAGCACAATCCTGTGTGTATTTTGTCACCATAATCCCGTGAAAAGGAGATTTAAGAGGACCCTGGAAGGTGTTGCTTGAATATGAACTGAAGATATGGCTTGGGACATGGCTGCAACGTCAAGTTTTGCATTTTCCATATGGTTGTGAAGTGTCTGACATGGATTCATCACTCATTTTGAAGTATACATTTGTTATAGGTGCTGACATTGTTTTTCTTTCTTGTATATTTATTTATTTATTTTTTTTTTTGAGAATAATCAACAAAAAAGAATGGCCACTAAACTGCTAGATAAAGAGCAGAGGAGGGCTAGTAGGTTCTATTCATATGTTGAAGGTGGGAAACAGGAAAAGTTTCTAATCCGGCTTCAGATCCAATCATAAACCTATTCATGAAAAGAAAGGAAAATCTTATCATGCTACTGTCATGTGGAAGTTGACGCTGGGATAAAACATATCAAGTAGGACCATAGATCTAAACTTAATGCATCAACCTTGAGAATGGGTCTATAAACCATAAAATTTAAAGTACAGATTCTACCTACATTTTGAAATATGTACTTGCAAAGTGGCTTTTATATGCATAAAATAGTATGTACATAAGATTTTATGCCATTATGCCGTACAGTTCTGACTATCATGTGCTACAGTACATCATATTCTAATTTCTTGGTAATAGAGTGATAGATATGTAAAATGTTTGCTTATTCAGGGATTGGCTGACACAAAAAAGCCCCCGGAATTGATATCTGGAAACATGTGTGCAGGTCAGAAGCTCTACATAACTTGGATCTTAGTTTCTCCTTTTTTATTACAAAACAAGAATTGAATCATTGAAATTAAATTTCTGTACTTGGTACTGCAGCAATGTGTGTTTATTCAGGGCTTTTCATGAGGTTTGCATGGGTGATACGACCTCGCAACTATTTGCTTCTAGCCTGCCATGTCTCCAATGAAAGTGTTCAACTCTACCAACTCTCACGGTGGGCAGCTGCTCAGGGGTATGAAATTAGTTGAATAAACCTTGAGCATTAGATTTGATCTATCTAATACTTGGAAATACTGATATGCTTAACTGTTCTGTAGTATCTCTGAGCATGCACGGTTTTTTTCTCTTTGAACACTGATTTGTTTATACTGCGTTGCCAAGGATTTTAACTCATCCTTAAATTGTAAAGTTACTTTGAAGTTAATTGTAATTCTTATCAATATTCTAGAGAGAAAATGATCAATAAATTATAGCTTGTAATTTTCTTCGTTTGCAGCAAGAAGCCATCGGATACACTGTGTAACAATTATAATATTGAATAAATTATTAAAAAAAAAATGATTGAAGATGTAGCTAATTTTCCTTTTTTGGCTTGTGTGCTAGGATCCATTGTCGGTTGTAATACAGAACATTGTAAACACATTTGTGTGTGAATCGCACAGTCCTGAAATTTTGAAAACACAGCAAATTATTTATAGAAAAAGAAGAGTGTCATTCTGGAACTTCACCTAATTATATGAGCTTTTCTTCTATCTTTATAATGTGAAATTTGATCTGCAAACGTATATGGTGTTATCAATTGGGAGTCAATCTAGCATCTCAGGGGGGGTTGGGGGGAATCAATGGTGGGGCATGAACCCAGGACGTGGTGCTCAATTGTCGACACCCTAACCTTTCCTCGAAAATGGATAGGCTGGCTTGGTTTCTTTATCATGACAAATTAACAGGTTCAAAATCTTGACCGCCCTAACACAAACTGGATGCCTTACCATTGTGGCCAACCTTGAGTACAGGTGCTTCCAATATACTTTCAAGTAAGATTCTATCATCTTTTTTGCAACTGTTTTGGGGTAGTTATGATAAGTCATATTACTCTGATGGTTTAATGTGGGGAGGCCTGTGTCAAATACTTTGATTTTAAAGGTTTGGGAAGTATGGTGTGTTTTAGATGATCTAAATAATTAAAACCACTTAAGTTGGCTTTGCAAGGGCTAGTTTGGATGGGCTACTTGTTTAGATATATTTCCATTTACCTGCCTGCTTGAATTAGTTTTTGGGATTGTTCAGTCTGTTCCGGCTATTCATGAGTAGGTCCTGTTTCTCCCTCTTTACTTGAAAAATGGGAAATCCCTGTCCACATTTACTTAAAAAGGCCTGCTTGTTCTCCTATTTGTAGATAACACTATAGCTTTACAGGACTGTTCAAAGGGGCCCTAATAAAGTACCTATTGCTGCCTAAAAATTAGCCACCCGAGAATACAGAAATTTCATGTCTTGAAAACCAAGTTTGGGCTATTTGCTGAAGTACTAATGCCCCCTCATCTCTCTCTCTCTCTCTCTCTCTCTCTCTCTCTCTCAGTGTGTGTGCATGAAGCATTTTTCTACAGAACCTGATAAAACCTATTTTAGTTGATATTCCTTGAACTTCAAGAAAGACATGTCTCCCCTTGGTTGGACATTGAAGAGGATTTTTTTTCTCTATCAATTGGATATTACTGTTCTATGCAGTGTTTTCCCCAGTGCAGTGTACCTTTTGTGCGGCCCACTGTGAATGCATGAATGTATTCTTGATGTATTTTAGTATGCTTTCTCTACATATTAATTGTTTTGTTTTGGAAATGTAGTTGGTGTGAATTAGTGTTCCTACAACGGTAGCTTTTGGCTTTCTGTTGCGTATCCACACATGTCAACACATGGGGACACTGGGTAGTGTTCTTTTAGTGTGCTCTATCTACATATTAATTGTTTTCTCTTGAAAATGTAGTTGGTGTGAATTAGTGTTCCTACAGCGGTAGCTTTTGGCTTTCTGTCGCATATCCACACATGTCAACACATGGGGAAATTATATAGAAGCACATTGGGGGCTCAATCCCTACTCTTTTTGAGTTGTTTTGTTCATTCAACTCCCTCTCCATCTACGTAGTTGGTGTTATAATTGAGAAAACTATAATATGCAATATAGAAAATACACGTTCCGACATGTCTTATGTGCCAGTCACTTTTGACACTAAGAAGCAGAACCCCCTATGTATCAATGTCTATGTAACATTTGCATGAATAGCTTAATACAACAAAATCCTTATGAAGAGTTTGATCCTCTCTATCCCTTCTAAGATGGTTTTGCATGTGATTAGATTTTTGACACATGCGACCTTTATAAATTGAAAGAAAGGGGAATTTCTTTGATGAGTCTTACATTATCATTTTAAGGCCATATCACATGATGGGCTGTCACTTTCAAAAACAGATGGCCTCGAAATCAATACTATGAAAATGGTACAAACAGTTACCATTAAAAAAAAGGATTAACTATGAAAATGCCACAAACAGGTACCATTCCGGAAAAGGATTAAAAAAAAGAAAAGAAAAGAACTGGTGGCCTTAAAATCGTGAAGAGGAAGTGGAAGGCTTTGGTGGATTGTGTGGTTCGTGAAATATGCAATTTAATTGGATCATTTAAAGACACGTTGGAATATACCCATAGAATGAGTGTAGCAGAGATGAGGATGTTGAGATGGATGAGTGGCAAGACGAGAAGGGATAGCATTTAAAATAAATCTATTTGAGAGAATTTAGGCGTGGCACTAATAGGCGATAAAATGAGAGAGAATAGACTTAGATAGGCTGGCCATATGTGGTGTTGACCAAGCAGTGTATCAAAAAGCGCTAGGCGGGTCCTAGGCGGCCTGGGGGGTCCAGGCCGCCCAAGGCTTAGGTAGGCGCCCAGAACCTGGGCGGTTGTCAGTTGAAATTTGAAAAAAAGTAAAAACTATACCAAATTATTATCAATTTAATATCATATTCCAAGTTGAAAAAAAAAAAAGATAGACATTGAGAAGATAATTTTGATAATCCATATTGTTAAAACAGTAAACTGTAAAACCATACAAGTGTAGGTAAGATATAAAGTCAACACTCAACACAACAGAAATTTAGAAAATATATAGCTTAACAAAAGATATAAAAGTCAACACTCAACACAGCAGAAATTTAAAAAATATACAGCATAACAAAAGTCAACACTCATGACTCAACACAACAGTCAACAGACTCAACACTCAACACTCAGCACCAAGAGGCAAAAGTCTTCAGTTGTCGTCGTCATCATCATCATCATTAGAGTCATCTCTCTCTTCTATATAACGCTCGTCCTCCTCTGTTTCTTCTGAATCTGCCTCTTCCTTCTCCTCTTCATTTACTTTCCTCTTACTAGTTTGTACAGATGAGGCCCTAGGAGTCTTGGCTGCTTTACCCTTTTTTTTGTGCTTCTCTGAACTCAAATATTGTATAATTTCCTCTTTGGTAACCTCAGGAACATTTTTACAAGGGGCAACATCGCCCTTAATACCGGTAAGGTGTTTTTTAAACCGGTAAATGTCCCCATTAGTATCCTTTCCACAATAATTACATTTAATATAATTTTTATCACTTGGATTCAGGTTATAACCATACTTTCAACCCGGATTACCACTCTATCTAGAACCTGGAGAAGATACTTCCATAGAACAAGGCTTATTTTCATTTTTCTGGTTCTTCGAAATTCAGAAGTTGTCGAATCTCATCCCGAACTGCTTGAGGAACCTTTGTACAAGAAGCAACATTACCTCTAACACCAACAATGTGTTTTTTGAATCCGCTAATACCCCCATTGGTATCTTTTTCACAAAAATTACACCTTATACAATTTTTATCATTTGGTTTTGGGTTGTACCTATACTTCCAACCTGGATCACTTTTTCTAGGAGTGGCAAAAATAGATCTATGACAAGGATTTTGTTCTTGTTGTTTTACATAACTTATAAATTGCTTAATCTCCTCTCTGATAGCTTCATAAATATTTTTTACAAGGGGCAGCATCCCCCTTAATGCGGACAAGATGTTTCTTAAACCGGTTTATACCTCCTTTTGTATCTTTTTCACAAAAATTGCATCCAACGCAATTTTTGTCATTTGGATTCGGGTTGTATCCATATTTTTAACCCGGATCTCAACTTTGACTTACTCTTGAAGAAGACATCTCAAAATAAAACAAGCAATCTGAAAGTTGCTTTGCTTGTTCGAACTCCAAACTTCGAGAAACACTTTGATGACTCGATCCAATGAAATGTAGTTTTTTGGACGTTTCTTTATCTAAAAGGGTTTCTTGGGGGTTTAGATTTCAGATGAACCTAAAACCCATCTTTCTAAATTTTTATATCTTGAAAAAAAAAAAAAACTTTTCTTCCCCTGGACAGGGCATATGCCTGCCCAGTTTGGCCGCCTAGGCTTGGGCGATGCGCCCAGGCCTTCTGGACAGCCTAGGCGCACCGAGGCGCTGGGTGGTCCGCGTAAAAGAAAAGAACTGGTGGCCTTAAAATCGTGAAGAGGAAGTGGAAGGCTTTGGTGGATTGTGTGGTTGGTGAAATATGCAATTTAATTGGATCATTTAAAGACACATTGGAATATACCCACAGAATGAGTGTAGCAGAGATAAGGATGTTGAGATGGATGAGTGGCAAGACGAGAAGGGATAGAATTCAAAATAAATCTATTCGAGAGAATTTAGATGTGGCACTAATAGGCAATAAAATGAGAGAGAGAGTAGACTTATGCGAGCTGGCCATGTGTGGTGTTGACCAAGTACAACACCTGTTAAAAGGTGCAAGTTAGTTAATTGAAGGATTGAAAAAGGCAAGGGGTAGGCCCAAAATGACGTGGTTGAAAGTAGTCTGAAAAGATATGGGGACTTATGGCATCATTGAGGATATGGCCTTTAATAGAGTAGAATGGAGAATCAGGATTCATGTAGCCGACCCCAATTAATTGGAAAAAGGTTAAAATGATGATGATGATGGAAGACATGTTGGAATCTTGTTCTAAAGTTCTTAACTGCTTAAAAGTAACCAATAAGTTTCCTTTTTCCATTTATGATCAATAGTTCATATGTGGTTCTTTCTAATTGTTCTTTTCTGTACAGGTATTTTCAGAAGAAAGAGGCTTCTGAGGTTGCTGAGAAGCAATAATTCCCTCAGTTCAGCATTCCCGAATTGCTGAGAAGCAATAATTCTCTTAATTTAGCATTCCCTAATTGTGGAGTATGCAACTCAATAAGCATTTACTGATTAATCTCCACATTTATATCATGGTCAATGATCTGCTATCATTCTCTGTGATGCATCAGATTCTTTGTTGCTGTGCATATTTTCAACATATAAGAATTGGGTTATGCATTTCAAAAATTTCCTCCTGTCACTTCTTTGTGGCTAAATTATATTTATGTGCTTTATAAGGTTCAATATCATCTTATTGCCCCCCATGGTTCCCCTATTGAACATTCACATTTTCAAACTTCTGTTTTCTTTGGTTCAAATATGGATGCCTACTCCAATTGTCTGAAAATTGTTTGGAGTCCTTGATGTGATGCTTGATTAATCATCACATGCCCCTACAAACCTTTCCTTTGAGCCATTCTTACATATGGTATTGATTGGAGCCACTGTATTATTTTATGGAATCGTGTACAATAAGATCATTTATCTTTGGTACAAAGAAGTTACAATTACTTACATCCTTCTGAACAAAAATCTGATAGCTTGGGTGTGTCACAATTTCGAGATCTATTTAAGCTTTGATCTTGGTTAATGGAATAAACACAGTTACTCAATTTCACATTCAGTGGTCAAGATCAATTGTGACTATATTGTATCAAAGGTAAATGGTCTCATTGTATATTTTTCTAAAGGATAAAGATTATATGGGCCAATCGGCTACTCTGATATTTGTAGGCCAAGGAGCCTAGATTGAACAATCGGTAGGCCACAATTTATCGACACTAATAGACAAATTTAGGCCAATTTTTTTCTCCAATTTTTTTGAGAGCACTTATGTAAATCCACAAAATTTCAGGTCTATTAGATTTATAAAAACTTTATAACTAAACTACTGACATGCCACACTTTGGATTGGCTAGATTATGACTTGTCTGGCTCTATACTTAGCTACAGGCGAGGCGGCTCACACGCTACGAGCCATGAATCTAGGTCATGTGTGGTCATGGTCATATTTGTAGGTTCCATGGATCTTTGTGGCCAGCTCCTATTGAAATTAATATTGATCTTCTTGGCATGATGTACATGCTGTTGGTTAACAACAGTCTCTTTTGTCATTCTTTGCGCCTTTGTTTGTTAAGATTTGTACTTAAATGTATTGGTGTATGCTCATGCATTTGGTGTTTAGCCTATCATTATTATGAACTAGGGTTGGTTGTCCCTTTGTTAAAGGGCAAAGTACACTATCATGAATTGGGCAATGAAAAACCATGGTCCATAGGGGGGCTGTACAATGAAAGGGGAGGTAATGAGGATGGGACTGCCACTGGGATCATATTTCATTTTGGTGGTCCCGCATTCGATAGCCATCCATTACGTATGTTGGTAATGACCAACACCAACGGAATATGGGAACCATAGTTCTTTGGCCTACAGTATATGATTTTTCTAATTTAATAGGAAAATTTTGGTTCTCGTGCTGGATCAAATTGTAATATTCGTGCTGCACCCATCATATTGGGGGGATTATGTTGACTCCACAACGATCATTTTTGTTCATATCAAAATTATTTATAAAAAAAGAAAAGAGAGAAAAATAATGACACTTAATCAATGTTCTAATTCGACCACCACGCCAAGACTTTTGGCTTGTCTGTATTAGATGGACGATCAGAGACGAACTACCAAAACTAGAGGTCAAAATCATTTTCGTTTGAAATTTCATCACGAACTGAATCAATTGTGGTTTAAAAAATGGAAATGTATGTAATAAGATTATTTACTTTTGATACAAAGGGGGTCATAATCATTAGTGACGGTTAGATGTGAAACCGGGCGGTTGGCAATGTGTTATTGATTGGGCGTAAAGTCCAAAATAAAATATCTCAAATATTGCGACACACTTCAATCTATTGGATTTTACATCCAACAACTGAGGGTGTTTGTGAACTCTTTATACCAACATGATCTTATAGTATATATTTCTTTCAAAATTTAGGGGAATTTATCCAAATGCCATGGGGGATGAACTATTTAATAATTTACCCATCTCTTTTGGTTTATCTTTAAATTACCCATAACATATGATCACTCGGAATAATTCTCTAAGTGCAAATGGGTAAAATTTTAAATACTTCAACTCTTATGGGTATTAAATTTACCAAGAACTTAAGATCATAAAAGTCCCCTAATTAAAATTTCACCCACATACCAAATATACCATTTGGTCCCATGTGACCATCACTTTGCGCCCATTCTGTTATGGATTAGGAGCATGGGATGGATTAGAAGGGGGATAGCGATTGAATTTGTTGTTTGAAAGCAAGCTGATTAGGTTTAGTGTTTTGGTCCAAGAGCAAAAGGTATCAAATTGATGTAAAAGCATGCCACAATCCCGTGCTCGGCCGCACGACTGCATGAGCCCAATTGTCCAACAATTTAGAAAAGAGGAATTGAAAAAGGGTGTGGTTTGTGTAAGGCTGGGGCCCTAAAAAATCAAATTAAGGTGCACTTTCAAATAGTACTGAAGTATTTTGTTTCAATATAAGTATAATAAAATATTTATAATTGCCTAAAAATTTTTTTTTTATCACCAATTATAATTATTAAATATTAAAAAATAGTGTAGATTGAATAGATTTATGAAAGCTTGAAAATCTTGAAAATTTACAGTCTAGATAATACATTATAAGATGCTCTATTTTCAAGACTTGAAATCTATTTTTTACCACGTCTATACATCTTGAGGTTGAGATGATCGAATTTAAAAGTTTTTCAGCATTGAAGTAACCTCTTCTCCTCTTAATTTGATTGATTAGGATCTCACCCTTATATAAACTTTTTCCTTTAAAAATGCGACTTTTTCTTTTTAGCATCACACAAACCACCTTGTTAACCACTTCATGAAAAATGTATGATGGCATCACATGGTGACTCCCACTTGACAGGCAATGATGCGGTCAAAGACCACGCTAAATTCATGAAAATGTTGAAGGTACAAAAGCAAACCTTGCTAAAAAGAAAGAACATCTATGTCACTCCCTTTGTAGTTATATCACATCCTTCCTATACTCATAGGATGTATAACTTCCAATCCCCTTCCCCTCTCTCTCTCTTTATCTATCTATCTTTTTTTCTCTCTTTTCGTTTGACGGGTTCCGATCTTGCTCACTTATTCTCCGGCTTTTTTTTTTAATTGAAAAACAAAAATAAAAAGACAAAAAGAATTGGGCAAGTCCAAAGAAGTTTTTAGACTCCCAACGGCTAGTTTCAAACTAACTCGGGTGATTATGAACCAACTTGCATATTTTCAAAACATTGATTTGCAATGAGTGATGGCGGAAAAAAACCACATTTCGGGCCGTTATCCATTCAAGGGGAGAAGCAATATATCTACACTATTCATAATGTAATAGGAAGAGTTTGTCACCTCGGTCCCTCCTAAAAAGTAGACGGTGGCCACGATGTGTACTATAAAATCAGAATACTACATGTACTATTACCATGGTTCGTCGCAGCATCGAAACAAGTTCTTAATTGGATTCGACGTTGATGATTCCAAGCTAAACATCCAAACGTAGTTTTTCTTTCTTTTTTTCATCATGGGAACAAAGAAATTTTATACATTTTATCATGCAATGGAAAATACAAAAACTATATGTGAAAATGGAAAAAAACAAAAAATCACATCCTGGTTCTAGAAACCCTTCTGAGAAGCACCACCCAACAAAGAAACCTATACAATAAGAAAAACCCAACCACCACCCCAACATTCACCCACCTTTGCCCCTCTCTCAACCCCCTCCCTTTCAATACATCATCCCCTCTTAACAAACAACCCCCACTCATACCTCTATTCTCAAAACTACCCCCCAACTCTAAACACCTATCTTTCCCGCCATATTCATTTATCAGAAGTAAATCCAACGGATACTTATAAAGACTCAAATAGTACATAAAAATCCAATATTTTGGTATGTTCTCTTTGCTTATGAAATACCCAGAAAATAGGAAAAAAACCCCTAAAACCAAACAAATAAGAGAATTACCAGTGATAAAATCAGGAGAGATGGCACTGAGGAAGAGAACCAGAGAATTCGCCATTAAAACGATGCCCCATATCACCATTACGAAGAACGCGAATGCCTGAAAGCTGGGGTTTAGACCCACCAACCAGTAGACCGGCCCTGCGTAGAGAAGGGCGATCAAGAGAAGAAATGGGGCAAAAACCAGGGTGTTTGCGATCAAATACGAAGAAACCCTGTAGAATTTTCTCGATGCTTCTCTCATGAGGACTTTTCGCTCTTGGAGGAAGATGGGTAAGGCCTCTGTTGTTGAAGAGAGGAGGAAACTCAAGCTAAAGGCGAAGAAACCAAGAATCTCTGCAACTCCTGTTCTATTCCTTTTGGTTTTGAAGTACACGCTTCCTAAGCCCAGCCCTGCAACTATAGCCTGAGCGCTCCTCGCCATTAAGAGCTGATTCGTTCTATAAATGATCTTCCAGAACCTTGAGCACAAGGTCACGACCTCATTGAGTCTAGACCCATAATCATGGCTTGTTTTGATCTCTGGTTCGAATCCGAATAGGCTTTTGAGGTCTGGGGTTTCAAAATTCGGGGTTCTTACCTCTAATACAGGGTTTTGGGAAATGGGGTTTTCCTTTATAGCCGATTCTAGGGTTTTGATAATCTCCATGGCATATTCAAGCGTATTGATCTGAGCAGGTATCCTCAATCCCATCTCCACTGTAATCAAATCCCTAAGCGCTTTTAGGGTTCCATTAAAGACTAGTTCACCATGTGAGAGAAGCAAAAACTCGTCGATGATATCGAGTATCTTATAACTCGGCTGGTGTATAGAGAGTACTATGGTCCGGCCCTTCGATCTAGCCATGGCTCGGAGGGTCTGGATCAGGTTAAAAGCGGCTCGACTGTCGAGCCCAGTCGTGGGTTCGTCGAGTATGAGAATTGGCGGGTCATGCACCACCTCCGAGCCCACAGAGACTCGCCTTCGCTCACCCCCACTAACCCCTCTCGAGCCCACCGATCCCACCAGAGAGTCCGAAACTCGGACGAGTCCCAACTCCTCCATCAGGGCTCTTACACGTGACTCGGCTTTCCGCCTCGTCACGTGCAGTTTAAGTCGTGCAGCGTAGATGAGGGTTTCCTGTACAGTGAGTAGAGGGAGGAGGGCATCCTGTTGGGGGACGAAGCCGCACGTGTGTCGAAGGAGAGCGGCGGATACATGCAGACCGTTTAGGAGGATCGCACCACGTGTCAGCTGCGATGTTTGGCACGCGCGACCGGAGATGAGATGGAGGAGGCTGGATTTTCCGGCGCCACTGGGGCCCACCACGGCGAGGAGGCGGTGTGGTTTGGCGTGGAAGGAGATGTTTTTGAGGAGAGAGAGAGGCTTGGGCTTGTTATGGTGAGGGAGGAGAGAGAAGGGGAGGAGAGAGAAAGGGAGGGGAAGTGGAGTTGGGATGGAGTAGGAGAGGTTGTGGGCAGAGATATCATAGGTGTCAGAGGGGGCCATTGCAGGAGACTTTCTCTCTCTTCTCTACTGCTTTTTCTTTTTATTTATAGAGTGAGTGCTACAGGCTTTTGCATGGAACTTGTCATGAAGAGAGAGAGAGAATTTTGTCATAGTTTTAGAGAGAGAGTTGGTAGCTTAAGAGAGAGAGAGAGTTTGGTCATAGTTTTAGAGAGAGAGTTGGTAGCTTAAGAGAGAGAGAGAGAGAGAGTTTTGTCATAGTTTTAGAGAGAGTTGGTAGCTTAAGAGAGAGAGAGAGAACGGAAGGATTTAGACACTGGAGAGAGAGCCATGGCAAAGTTTAGAGAGAGAGAGATGGTTTGAGGGGTTGAACCAACCAGGAATGAAAGAAAGAGTGAAGAGAGCTTGATATTTTCCTGCGTTTGGCAGCGTTTGGCTATCCATCGGAAAACACTCCTCTTTTTTTCAACTCCTGAACAACTACCATACTCCAATGCACTATGCATTCACATGCCTAATTTACTTTTTTTCTAACTAGATTATATACTTCAGCTGGATTAAATTGAACTTTGAGTTTAGTTAAAGTAATAAATGCAATTACCCAACTTTACATTTAATGGTTAAGATTAGTTGTGGCCACCTTGTACCAAAGTAAATGATCTCATCTTATATTTTTCCATAAATTGTACAGGTTCCATGTTGACAAGAAATCAGGAGTTTTAGGACCCTAAAATTTGGGGTTGGGGATTATTCGACCTGGTGACCAACCTAAAAAAATATTGACCATAGGTTTTGATAGGGAAAATGATGCATTAAGATTGGGGCAAGCTTTATATGCTTCCGCATAAAACTTATATATTTTCCCGTATTCCATTGTCCATCTTGAATGAACGGTTGAGATGGCCCCAATCACAATATAGAGCATCCACAAAATAGATGTCCTATCTAAACGTCAAAACATAGAAAACCTCTTTCTTTCCCCTTTTTTTTTAAGGGATTGTATACAATGAGACCATTGATCTTTGATACAAGGAGATTACAATTACTTACAACTATCCGATATGAAATCTGATAGCTTGTGTACGTCCTAAAGTTCGAAGAAATTTATTTTGAAGTTTGAGTTAGGTCAATGGAATAAATACAACTATCTAATTTCACATCCAATAGTCATGGGTTACCTTGTATCAAAGATAAATGATCCCGTTGTATACTTTTTCTTTTTAAAGAAAAATTATCAAAATACCTTTAAAGATGGAGTATTCAACATTTGACCCTATTGGAACTATTCCAACTCATGACCATATCTTATCTATGGGTATTTTAAAATTAATTCAAAAGATATATATAAAATATTAAATAGATATAAAATTAATTCAAAAGATATATATAAATTTAATTCAAAAGATATATATAAATTTAATTCAAAAGATATATATAAATTTCATTTTCTTTTTTAAATTACTCATGTGGGGATTTTAAAGTGGATCAAAATTTTATATCAAGAAAATTCCTAAGCCTATTGCCTAAGGGTGTAAATGCACAATGTAGTCCTACAGGAGTGTAGTATACACTTTTGTTTTAGTTTAAATGTAAAATGCCATAATGATCCAAAAATGGTATATGAACAATATTTTCTAATATTGTCATTAATTAGTAAAATAAAATTTGGGTGAGTCTTAGGTTTAATTTAACGCTCATGTCAATTTTGCGCATGGCTTGGGGCTTTGGTGGTAATATTGTCAAGTCCTATGGTGAGGTCTCTAACTCCATTCTTACCAAAGGGTAGGGGTTCAAATCCCTATTGGCTTACCACTTTTTGTTTTGTTTTATTTTATGTATTTTTTTTTTTTTTTGAAAATGGGCTGGGACCTTGGTGGTAGTACCAACAAACGCTATAATGAAATCTATGACTTCATTCTCACCAAAGGGTAGGGCTCAAATCCCCATTGACTTTACTATTTTTGGGAAAGGGATTTGAGTCGTGGTGGTAGCACCCCATACTCTGGTTATCATGCCGTGGTTTCCATTCACACCACTAACACCACCTCACTAATACCTTAAAAAAGCTAACTCCTAGTCTATTTGAAAAAATAGGTAGGGCCTTGTTTTTCCCACTAAATTACTCAAAAAAATAACCATTTATTTTGTGATGTTTTAATCAAATGTACCTCTAAGTATGAATATATGATGTATTAATCAAAAGATAACTACTAAGAAACTATCCATGCATATTATTTTATTGGGGATCATATATTACTTTGATCACCTTGACATTACCCATTGAAAATCTTTTAATAGGGGTGAGGTCAGTGTGAGGCATCAACTTTGAAGTGTGTTTTTGAACTTTACAATTAAAAGATGATGTTTTGATGCCAAAAATTCTTGCAATGACTTAAAAATCTATTTTCATTTTTAATTATGAAATTTAAAGTTTTAAACATGGTATGTATCAAATAGACCAATAAGCACTTAAATTTTTTGAAAATGGGTGGTTTAGATATATGTTACATGATACACGTTTTTTAAGATTTAAAATCATTTTTTATTTATGGAGGTTGAGATGATCAATTGTGAAGTATTTTTGTGGATTTTTAATATACAAATTGCTTCCCTCATGGTAGGTGGAAGGCAGTAACTCTGTTTACTGCCTTTCTTCTTCTACTGGCTCAAGAAGCTTACAAGAGTAGAAAACCATCAAGTCCATAGTCTTCCATTAAATATTATAAACAAGATGATAATTTGATGTCATCAAAGAGAATGCTTGGGCATTTATAAATGAGCACATTCAGTGTATTCCCATAGGAACACACTATACACGTACACCATTGGGACAAATGAAACCAATAAAGAAAAAAGAAGATCTTAAGGGAATTTTGGTTGATATGAAATTTTTGGATTTAGTTTAGTATCACGAAATGAGTATTTTCAATGGGGGGAAAGAAAGAATTTAGGTATCTAAATAGTTGGATTTAGTGACCCAAAAATTGGACAGTTGGTATTGGGATGCTATTTTTTCAGGTACGTATAGGTGTACCTATAGAGGTTGGTCGCTGGGCTGAGGCCCTTATGTTCCCAAGATTTAGGGTCCTGAAAATTCTCTTAAACAGGGTTTTACCAAGTGAGTATTTTATGATATGCTCCCGCGGGCATATAATCTTTTGGCTTCATAAATAAGTCTCAATTTTACTAATGTTAACTTTGAAGGTAAAGGATACTAAACAAATTTATTTATTAAAGGGCAAAATAATCAACATCTCTATACACAATAGTGGCATTTGATGCACAATATGTCATCTTCATCACCTGTCACCCTCCCAGAAAACATCCTACTTTCAAGTTGCACAATCATTTACGCCCACCATGCTGTTTGATCATTCTGCCAAGTACCTTTTGGTCTTTAATCATATCATAGCTGTTCTTTATAATGTATAGAATTAATAAGCGGCCATAGCCATTAATCTCTTTATTTTCTTTTTTGGTAAATACATTCCAATATTTGTTATGAATTAAGGTTTTTGGATCTTCCTCCCTTGAAAATTTATTAATATGCATGTCATTTTTAAAAAGAAAATATTTTTAAGGGATTTGGTGGGAATGATACTCAAGATGTCATTTGTTAGTGATAATGTATGAAAACCTAAATAAAGAGAGAGAGAGAGGAAGAGAACACATCAATGCATTCATCCAACTCACCATCTGTTATACACATTAGTATATATATATATATATATATATAGTCGTCGTCTCTACG